CATAGTGTGTGTGCAGCAGAGGTGGGTAACTGTCTTATGAAAGGCATCAGGAGGCTCCCTCACTCCCCTCCTTACTGGAGAACGCACTGACTTCCTTTCATCTTCATTGTCTGCCGCAGAGCTGCAGAGAGACGAGGCGGCGGCTGCTGTGCTGGGTGCAGTGAGGAGGAGGCCCTCGGTGGTGCCCATGGCTGGCCAGGACCCTGCGCTGAGCGCGAGTCACCCGTTCTACGACGTGGCCAGACATGGCATTCTGCAGGTGGCAGGTAGGGCCCCAGCTGGGCAGTCCACAGGGCCGTGGGCAGGGTGGCCTTCCTCTCGGCAACTTTGGGACAAAGTGGGCTTGGCGGGGGCTGCCTCACTGCAGCTGGGCAAGATTGAAAACTAACTGGAGCCAGGTGCAGTGGCTCATACCTTTAATCCTAGCACTTTGGGAGGCCAAGGTGAGCAGATGGCTTCAGCCCAGGAATTTGAGACCAGCCTGGTCAACCTAGTGAGACCCCATCTCTTTAAAAAAAAAAAAAAAAAAAAAAAAAAAAAAAAACAAAAATCAGCCGGGCATGGTGTGGCAGAGACCTTAGCTTCCCCGCCTGTCGGAAAGGTGTCTCCTGGGCTGAGGTCAACGCGTTGGCGGCCGGGTGTGCTTCTGGAGGCTCCAGGGAGGCTTTGTTTCCTGCCCTGTGCCGCCCGCCCACTTTCCTGGGCTCTCCCGCCTCCAGCCCAGCCCCGCAGAGCCTCTCCCCATCATTCTCTCTGCCTCCACCTACAGTCATGACTGCTTCCTTGACTCAGCCCTTCATGCCTCATTCTTGTAAGCACCCCCTGCGATTATACTCAGCCTTCGCACCTCCCTCTCTGAGCCTTAGTTGCACCCCTGTCAATGTGGACAGTATCTGACCCTTAGATCTTATTTTTCTCCCTCCATGGTGCTGGACACTAGATGGGCACATAGTGGGTACACAACTGAGGTAGGGTACACAGTGGGTGCACGGCTGAGAGAATGCTTAGTGAGTACATGGCTGAGGTAGGGCACATAGTGGGTGCTCAGCTGAGGTAGGGCGCATAGTGGGTGCTCGGCTGAGGTAGCGTCCATAGTGTGTGTGCAGCAGAGGTGGGTAACTGTCTTATGAAAGGCATCAGGAGGCTCCCTCACTCCCCTCCTTACTGGAGAACGCACTGACTTCCTTTCATCTTCATTGTCTGCCGCAGAGCTGCAGAGAGACGAGGCGGCGGCTGCTGTGCTGGGTGCAGTGAGGAGGAGGCCCTCGGTGGTGCCCATGGCTGGCCAGGACCCTGCGCTGAGCGCGAGTCACCCGTTCTACGACGTGGCCAGACATGGCATTCTGCAGGTGGCAGGTAGGGCCCCAGCTGGGCAGTCCACAGGGCCGTGGGCAGGGTGGCCTTCCTCTCGGCAACTTTGGGACAAAGTGGGCTTGGCGGGGGCTGCCTCACTGCAGCTGGGCAAGATTGAAAACTAACTGGAGCCAGGTGCAGTGGCTCATACCTTTAATCCTAGCACTTTGGGAGGCCAAGGTGAGCAGATGGCTTCAGCCCAGGAATTTGAGACCAGCCTGGTCAACCTAGTGAGACCCCATCTCTTTAAAAAAAAAAAAAAAAAAAAAGAAGTAAAACTAATTGGAAAAGGAGGGCCTGCTAATGTGTTTTGAGAAATAAATTGTACGCTTGTCAAAGCATTGCCCAGGTGCGCTGAGAAGCCAACGGGCAGTGTCCTGCTAGTGTTTAAAGAGCAGAGGCTGAAATTTAATGAATTGTTTCATTAATCAAGGGCACTGTTATGTCTCATCCAAAGCAACAAACATCTGCAAAATAGTAGACAACAAACTACTTCTTGCCCAGCAGTTGGTCGGAGGAAAACATCTTGCATTGCTTTGTTTTGTTTTGTTTTTTTGAGACAGGGTTTTGCTCTGTTGCCCAGGCTGGAGTACAGTGGTGCAATCCCAGCTCACTGCAACCTCTGCCACTCTGGTTCAAGAGATTCTCCTGCCTCAGCCTCCCGAGTAGCTGGGATTACAAGCACCCACCACCACGCTCAGCTAATTTTTGTATTTTTAGTAGAGACGGGCTTTTGCCATGTTGGTCAGGCTGATCTCAAACTCCTGACCTCAGGTGATTCCCCCTACCTTGGCCTCCCAAAGTGCTGGGATTACAGATGTGAGCCACACGCCCGGCCGATGCTTTGTTACTAGGAGCATATATACTTAGGATTGTTATGTCTTCTTGATGTATTGACCTTTTTATGAGACAAGGTCTCACTTTGTTGCCCAGGCTGTGCAGTGGCGCTATCTTGGCTCACTGCAGCCTCTATCTCCCTGGGCTCAGGCAGTCCTCCCACCTCAGCTTCCCGAGTAGCTGAGACTACAGGCACAAGCCACCATGCCTGGCTAATTTTCTTGTTTTTTGTAGAGACAGGATTTTGTCATGTTGCCCAGGCCGGTTTTGAACTCCTGGACTAAAGTAATCGGCCTGTCTTGGCCTCCCAAAGTGCTGGGATTATAGGTATGCTTTTTACCATTATTAAATGGCCTTCTTTATGTCTGGTGATACTGCTTGTGTTAAAGTCTGATTTTTCTGATACTAATATAGCCACGACAGCTATACCAGCTTTCTCATCACTGGTGTTGGTAACGTGTGCCTCTTCCATCCTTTTACTGTTCAATCTGTCTCAGTCTGCACAGAAAGTGCATCTGTTATAGACAGCTTATCACTAAGCATTTTTTAAAAGCTTTAATTGCAAGATGGCCACATAGCAGAAATCACATTGTCAAAGCCTGGGAGGGTTAGCAGAGGAGTTTGCACTTGGTCATGGTGGCTCTAGGGCACATTAAACAGAGGACGGATGTAATCAGATGTATAATTTAGAAGTCTCTTTGGGGGTGGAGAATGATGACGGCAGCTGTTGGAGTCAGGGAGGCCAGTAAGAGCAAGAATAGAGGTTTGAGTTAATGTTGTGGCAGTGGGATGCAGAGGAGGGCGTGGATTTGAGAGATGTTTTTAAAAATGTCCAGCTGGTGGCCTAGCTGAAACCAAAAACTGGGGGTGATGGGGGTTGCCACATGGGATGAGGTTTCCAGGGGTGTAAAGGAAGAGTTTAAATTAAAAGAAGAGATGGCCAGGCCACCTACAGGCCATGGCTTATGCCTGTAATTCCAGCACTTTGGAAGCCCAAGGTGGGTGGATCCCCTGAGGTCAGGAGTTCAAGACCAGCCTGGCCAACGTGGTGAAGCCCCGTCCTTACTAAAAATACAAAAATTACCTGGGCATGGAGGCATACACCTGTAATCCCAGCTACTTGGGAGGCTGAGGCAGGAGAATCACTTGAACCCACGAGATGGAGGTTGCAGTGAGCCGAGATCGCACCATTGCACTCCAGCCTGGATAACAAGAGCAAAACTCTGTCTAGGAAAAAAAAAAAAAAAAGAAGGGGGAGCCCTGGGAAGTAACTTGGCCTCCTCCTCCTCCTTCTTCTTCTTCTTCTTCTTTTTTTTGGAGACAGAGTCTCACTCTGTCTCCCAGGCTGGAATGCAGTGGCATGATCTTGGCTCACTGCAACCTGTGCCTCCTGGGTTCAAGCCATTCTCCTGCCTCAGCCTCCTGAGTAGCTGGGATTACAGGCACATGCCGCCATGCCCAGCTAATTTTTTTGTATTTTTAGTAGAGATGGGGTTTCACTGTGTTGCCTGGTCTCAAACTCCTGAGCTCAGGCAGTCTACCCGCATCGGCCTCCCAAAGTGCTAGGATTACAGGCTTGAGCCACTGCACCCAGAATGTGGCCTTCTTCAACGTGCCTCCCTCCACCTGCTCTCCTGGTGGGTACCCCGGGAGCTGGGAACCTTCCAGATGATTCCTCCTTCTCCCAGCAAAAAGAAAACTAATTGGAACAGGAGGACCTGCCAGGGTTCAGCCTTGGAGGGATGTTGTGGGATTTCAGTGCAGTGTACTGTGGGTCCTTCCGTGTCATTAGGGGGCTGTGGGCTGTGCTGGGGTTGTGTGCTCCTCCCGGGAAGCGTATGAAGTTTTCAGAGTCCACACTTGAGCCAAGCGCCAAAGCAAGACTTCCTTGGGAGATGATGGCACAGCTTTTAGATAGTTCTCTTCTGTTGGAGCAGAGTTTTCACTTATTTACAACCCAGCTTCTCTGGGCGCAGTGGCTCATGCCTGTAATCCCAGCACTTTGGGAGGATGAGTCGAGTGGATCACTTGATGTCAGGAGTTTGAGACCAGCCTGACCAAGATGGTGAAACCCCGTCTGTACTAAAAATACACAAAATAGCTGGGCGTGATGATGGGCACCTGTAATCCCAGCTACTCGGGAGGCTGAGACAGGAGAATGCCTTGAACCCAGGATGCGCAGGTTGCAGTGAGTGAAGATTACATCATTGCACTCAGGCCTGGGTAACAAGAGCAAAACTCCATCTCAACAAACAAACAAAAATACCCCCCAGCTTCTTGAGAAATTTAACCATATCAAGAGATCATTTGAGGGCCTCAGCCATCCTGAAAAGATGCCGGCCTTAACCAGAAGTCATCAGGAACAACAAGGGTGGAGGTGCCTGGAGAAGAGCTGAGTGGAAGTCACTCTCCTCTCTGGTGAAATAGTTTATAGTCCAAGCGCCAAAGCAAGAAAAATCTAAACATTCCATTGTAGATGCATTGATGGATACAGACAGAGAAAATTAGAGCAAAACTTCCAATTGCCAGTGGCTTTTTCTTTCTTTTTTCTTTTTCTTTTCTTGTTTGTGTTTTTTTTTTAGACGGACTCTCGCTGTTGCCCCGGCTGGAGTGCAGTGGTGTGATCTCAGCTCACTGCAACCTCCACTTCCCGGGTTCAAGCAATTCTCTGCCTCAGCCTCCCAAGTAGCTGGGATTACAGGCACCTGCCACCATGCCCGGCTAATTTTTGTATTTTTAGTAGATGTGGGGTTTCACCATGTTGGTCAGGCTGGTCTTGAACTCCTGACCTCGCGATCCACCTGCCTCGGCCTCCCAAAGTGCTGGGGTTACAGGCGTGAGCCACCGCACCTGGCCTCCAGTGGCTTTTTCAATTGGGACAACCAGCAGAGAACTCCCTCAGATGGCTGCTCACTGAGGACTGTTCTTGGCAGAACAGAGGCCTCTCCCCTTCCTGGGCCTCACCTTGGCATCAGCTTTGTTCCGTCGTCCCCTAACTGCGGTTCATGCACCTGAGTTTCCTGTGGGCCCAGGGGGACAGTTCAGGACCAGGAACCCGCACTTCCCTCCTGCTCCT